TTTACGTGGATAATAGCTTTAAAAAGTTACCTAAAATCGTTTTACGATCGCATGATGACGTCATCGGCCAAAAACACCGTTCGTAAAATAGAAGGTTCGTAATTGAGAAAATTCGTAATTGAGAAGTATGAAAAAATAGCGCCCTCTAAATAGATTTTTTAACCATGTGTGTGCGCTTAGCGATCGTCACGGCCTATTGGTATGGTCTATGACCGGTCTAAGTTTACACAGAATTATTACAATGTGCAGGACTTCGTAGCAAACAACAATAAATTCTAAACTATTATATATTATTATTTATAGACGAACCTCTCTCCATTTTGCTAGTATTTACCCATAGCCTCCGTGCCCACAGCCGATGCAAAATCAAGAAGTACTCCGTATGGCCGACGATCATTCGTTTAACCATGTGCTTGTTGCGCAGACTGATTTATGCTTTGCGCTGATTGGCTATGCACGCTCCAGGATTTTAACATTGTGAACCAGCCGCGGCACTGCTGCCGGCCTTTAATCGCGAGTCCGCAATACACGAACGAACGTATAAGAGGTGATTCAAACAGATAAATTACAAACGCATAAGATGGGTATGATTTAAACAAATAAAACAACAAACACATTAGACGGACACGAACGAATTTATGAACGATATGACGGAGAAGATTTAAAAAAAATTAAATAACGAAAACATAAGACGGACATGAACAAATTCATAAAGGAACGAACGTATAAGACGGACATGATTCAAACAATAAAACAAAGCCAGCATAAGACTGACATTTCTCAAACAAATAACAAACGTATCGGACGGACATAGACAAATGATACTGTGTAGACGAATGAATAATTTTGTAATGAACAAAATATTTATGAACAAAAACAAACAGATATGAAACCAATGGACGGTTCTACAAATGAACATGTACCGGTACGCATGTAAAATGTGCAAGTTGTGATAATAATAATATTATTAATAATAATAATAATAATAATAATAATAATAATAATAATAATAATAGTGTAGTTTTATATAGCGCACAAATCCATCTAATGTAAGATGCTCAGGGCGCTAGGAATTCAAACAATAACTGTCTTCTCCCCTAAGGGTCCCATCGTGTCTGTGCTAACCGGTAACCCGGTACCAGCAACTCTCGTCGTCCACCACAGGGTCTGTCTGTTCCAGTACACCTGGGTATCCGGTGTACTCATTCATAAATGAGGGATACTAATTAAAAGTATCCCTTCTTAATTAAAAAAAAAATATGGGGGTGGGGGGAGCGGTGGCGTTTCTTTTTTTTTTCCACCATCTTCAGTTGGTTGCAGTTACTGCAGTGGAACGACTCCAAACGTCCAATGGAGATTGAACCGCCTAATTGTTAATTATTCCGTACTGTAGACAAGAAAAATGGTGCCGGCGATCCTTTGATTTGTAATTGAGATGGTATCAGAAAATTAGTAATTTTCAATTTAGGTTGATGCATAAGCTAACATAAACTTATTTTATTGGTTAAGAAAATAATATATGCTTCTCTCATCAAAAGGAAAATGAAATTTTGTAATTCTTAATCATCGAATTATTAACATTAAATAACTCTAACATAACCCTACACTGTTAAAAATAAAGGTGCAACTAAAGGTGCAAAGATAGAAAATGGTGCACAGTTGCACCTTTTTCTTATACAAAGGTGCAGAGAGGGTGCAGAGTTCAAATAATCGGTTAAAAGGCTCATCTTTGCACCTTTTGTTATCGGAAAATGAAGATGGTGCAAAAATGTACCTTTTTATAGTAGAAAGGAACAAGTCTAGCTTTGTCAAAAGCTAGTTACAAAACATGTTCTGTTTGGGTTTCATACCAGTGTTCGACACAGAAATGTGGTGTATTACCTTGAAAAATGTTTCAATATAGGCCAGCATTAATTTCTTTAGACAAGCAGGTTCTGTAAAGCCTATTTGATTTGGTTGAGTATCTGTAGGGCCTACAATAACGGAGAGCATCATTGAATAAAATTAAGCAATGACAGATTTTTCATGGCTTTACACCAGTGCTAGCAGTACTAGTCCTACGTGAAGTAAGTAGGCCTATATTTAAAATGAAAAACCACTGGTAGTCCTTCACTTACCCTATTATCATGAAACAGTTAAATGGATATACATAAAACACAGGTGATTTAGTTGCCGTGTGGTTAAAAAAAAGGGCATGATTGACTCAGAAGGTGCAACTTCAAGTGGTCTGAAAATCTCATTGGGTTCATTATTACAACATCAAGGGTGCAAATTCGTAACTTGGGGCTCAACTTAGTACTTGCAGGGTTCACAACAGCACCACAAGGTTCAAATCAGCACCTATAGAGGTCCACTTGAGCAACTTAGCAAGTTCACATGAGTACCTTATCAGGTTAACATAAGTACCTTTAGCAGGTTAAAGCTTGGTTTCCATAAAATCGCTATTCGCTAATTACCCACAGCTTTTGGTTGGTGTCCAAACATCGCTAAACACTTTCGCCAACAGTGCATGTTGAACTTGGTTCAACTGTTGCAGACAAAACAGGATCATGTGCCCACCCCGCCACCCCGATTCGTCTGCAATGCACTAATCAGCAAAGTTAAACCAGGTTCAACCTTCCCGACAACTGTCGGCGACTGTCGCCGATAGGGTTAGCGATTTTATGGAAACCAAGCTTTGTGCTGATTGGTCGGTCGAATCAGGGAGCCTTCCCGACCTGTCTCTTATACACATCTAGATGTGTATAAGAACCTTAGCAGGTTCACATGAGCACCTCAGCAAGTTCACATGAGCACCTTATTAGCAGAAATAACAGTTAAATCTCGTCGTGTGCGGCGGGCTTTAAAGAAGTGCACGCGCATACGACGAATGACAGTTAGGCGCGTGTAATGTGTGCGGACAGGCTTTTTTTCCCCGCCGGCGGCTGAATGAAATCAGACAGTTGACGACGCACCCTCTGTTTATATGCACATATGTCTTGTCTAACCTCATTACTGTTTGTCTGGTTGTTGACGTCTTTTCATCAAAAGTCGAAACATTATTGGTCGGTTGTTCTTTTTTTCATCAGTCATTTGGCCATAACAAAACTGCGTAAGTTAAATAGGCCTAGGCTAGACCAAACCTAGGCCTATGCTACCTATAGGCCTAGCCTAGGCTAGGCATAATAGTGATAGGGGCCTATCAGATAGATAGACCCCCAGGCACCCGCCCGTAGCCTGGCCCTACGCCTAGGCTAGGCTTACTTTAAGCAAAATTAATGAAATTCGTTAAGGCCAGCCTAGACCTATAATAGGAAGACTTCTTGGGCACTGATCAGTCACTGTCTTCTGCTAGAATATTTTGAAAGAAAACTTATAATGTAGACAAAAAAAGTTTCTTTTCATATGTACCTCTAGCCTAGGCATAGGCTAATAATACGCTTGACAAATGTAGGCCTATGCCTAGAAATTATATCCAATATGGCATATCAACAAAGTAAATATAAAACAGAAACATAATCCTGAATAAGACAATTTATGCCCATGTCATTAACCTCAACCTGATATTATTATTAATTAACCAACTGGGTAAGGGAGTGTTCAGAAATACTTGTTGTTGGGGAAGGGGCGAGGGTTTCTAAGTAATGTGGAACAAAATACTTTTAGGTCCTGAAAAATGAATCGAAAAATAAAATTGCACTTAAGGAAGGGGATAAATACAATTAAGAAATATTTGCTTTTCTACATATAACTTAAATAAGACTGATAATTTTAGATGCCCTCTAAGTGCTTTTATGGTAAAACTTCCCGAAACGTTATGGTATTTATGGTAAATTTTTTCTAAACGATGGTACTTGTTGTGTTTGGACACACAGTACCGTTTTGTTTAGCGTTTCGGGAAGTTTTACCATAAAGGCTACGATTTGAATTTAAATGATGTTGAGTGCCATAGCTTCTGATGAGTTGCACTCTTAAATTTGGTATAAAAACATACATTATATTAAGCATTGCACTATCTGGAAAATAATTTCCTGCCTTTCTTCCGTTACTTTGTTTTTGTGTATTCATTGATATACATTAAAAATAATACTTTGAACATTTTATTAGCATTGTTTTAATCTTTCATTCAAACTAAAGGAAAATAATTTGACATGGACTAAATTTGATTGTTAATTAATGGAAAATTTGGCATGTAAAATAAGTTCAACATAGAAATTATTTGACCTTGGAAAGTTTGAATGTATATTCCATGCCTATCCATGGTTCACTTACTTTACTACTTAGTTCACCTGTATACCAAGGCCTGTGATGTGCCTTCTTTATCCAAGTGGCCTTTACCTACCAAGTACCTGTATTACCACATGATGTGGAAGATCTTTTGAAACAGCAGGGCAAGTCGGTGTTGTCAAGGCAGTATTATCGTAAGATTATACAAAGTTTATTTGAAGACATGATACAATTTACTCTGTAAGTATTTAATCTGATTATTATGTTTTTGAGTACTACTTAATTTTTTACTACTGTACTAATTTGATGCAGTTTCCTCTTTCCAGACCTGCTTCTGATTACCTATGACTTTCTCATTGATTCAGTTTATTACCTGGGCATCTTCACATTTAGTACTATAAAAAGTAATGAAGTCTACTATAATGCATGCACTGTCAAGAGGGTTTATTGCTAAAGCTTCAAAATACTTTAATTCATCTATTTTAACACTATTCTTTCCATGTTTATTCACTGATTGTTAATCTTGATACAGTAATTTTTCCCCTTGCACCTTTTTTTTGTAGATATCCAACAACAGCTGAGTATACTGAGGTAGCTAGAGCTAGTTACCAAATTTAAGATCTTAGAAGATAAATCTGGAACTTCAACAGGACATGTAAGCCATGTTAAAAATTTTACATACTGAAAAGACACATTACAGCAAAAAAAAATTGAGTCAAATTCTGGGGTAGATTAAGGGGGATTTCAAGCATGATGTCATCAAGGTCTTTAGACTTTGTGTATCAGAACATACAGTACATTGTAATAATGCTTAAGTACCGTAGCTACAGCCATTTAGTATAATTAATAATTGTATGCTGTCGTCTGAACCAAAATAAGAGTTAGTCAGACATGAAATAACATGCAAAAGGGCATTTTTGTACTCGCATATAACTCTATGACTCTTTATTGTAGTCTCACAATGTTGGTGGTTCAAATTCTTTGATTCAGCCCAATCAGCTTATAGCTTTTTGGGAAAGCACATACAATTGGTACAAAAAGTAGATTTAAGGTATAAGATTACATTGATAATGTAAAATGTGGTATAAGGCCTATCTACTTCATCCCAATCACCTTATTTTCAGGTAAAAATCATATACTGGCACAAATATGGCACAGAACTGAACCTAAGTGGCACTGTCCCTTAGAAAATTGTAAAATCATAAAAAATCGAATTAAAAAATTACTGTACTATGTACACATAATGTAATCACCTTAAAGATGAAACATATCGTAAACCACAATAGTTATTATAATATAACAATATTAAATACAATAAACAATAAAATTGCTAAAAGCAAATGTAAGCATTCTCATACTCAAATGGTTGTAAATGTTTGAATATTGAGTTTTAGTATGTGTGTGTCATGGTAAATGTTTTTTCCGATTGTCGAAGTGACAGTGCATCTTTGAATTTTTGAGATGATATTTTCCCTATTTGGCATCTTAGGATAATATGTCAGGAGAAAACCAAGTCAGCATCAAGCATGTAACAGATTTAATGGACCTTTCAAAGAAGTGTAACCCAGACCAGAACATTATGGTCGATAAACTAGAGCGTACAAAGGAATATCGTTGAAAATATTTTGCCGAGCACTCTGTGAAAGACGTGTTGGAGAAATTTCTTTTTCTTAAACTAGAAAATGAGGTAATAATTAAATATCCAAATCAATTATGTAACATGTCAATAATGATTGAGACAAATAATTCCATAAAAAGGAATGTAAGGTTGCACCTTTATTTAGAGGTACAATTGTGCACCTTGAAAGGTGGCTGTGGTGTTGCATCGTTTTGTACCTTTTTAAGTAGGTATTTGCACATTTTTTTTAACAGTGTAGGCCTAACATTAGGGCAGTCCATATTTTCGTTGGCTCTAATTCAGATTGCACAGGAACATTATCGTTTTCTGTTGATGTCTACGCTAAATTCAATGTACTTTACATGTAAGAAATTAATGTATGCTGGCTTCATAAAAAGGAAATGATTTATTTACGAGTTATAGAGATGAAATATTGAACTAGAATTTACCCAACTAACCCGTAACTTAACGCCCTTCAGATATACGAAGTTATTTTACTTTCAGAGATGAACTCTAAGTAGACAATGGAATAGTTATGAAAGGACATAAAAGCATAATTCCTTGCTCTCTCTCTCCAGTCATCATATACACAAATACTACATAAAGGACATCCTGAAATGGAAGCTACAAAACGCAGAGCACGGGGAATTGTCTATTGGAGATCAATGTGCAATGACATAAACAACTTTGTGTCATCCTGCCAGGTATGTAATGCCCTAAAGGCACATCAAGCCAAGGAGCCCTTACTTTTACATAACATTCCAGATCTACCATGGACGATTGTTGTCACAGATATATTTTAGTGGAACAATAAGCATTACCTTGTACTCGTAGATTCCTATTCCGGATAATTTGAAATGAATAATTTAACTGACTTAACATCAGCCACGGTAATAGTGAAACTGAAGCGTCACTTTGCTACCCATGGTACACCGCGGATTCTCATAAGTCACAATGGAGGTCAGTATTCAGGTCAACAATTCAAACAGTTCGCATTAGAATGGAACTTTGTGCACATCACGAGTAGTCCTGAACATGCCCAATCAAATGGCCTTGCAGAGAATGCGGTAAAGCAGGCAAAGATTTTGTTAGAAAAGACACGAAGAGATGGATCAGATATCTATCAAAATCTTCTGAACTTACGCAATGTGCCAAGAGATAATGTTCTCAAATCACTGGCACAAAGACTACTATCACGAACAACTAGAAATCCTCTATACACAAACAAATTCTTACTGACACCAAAACCAATCAATACAAAAGTTGTAAGAAATCAATTAGAAATGATGAGAAACTAACAGAAGCGCTACTATGACAAAAAAGCACAGGCAAACGCACTCCCACCGCTACAACAAAACCAGACAGTTCAAATAAGAACAAAGAAAGGACATGATCGCCTGGGAACGATCAGAAAGATTCTGGAACAGCCAAGATCATATATGGTCGATACCGGTGAAACGCAAATAAGAAGAAACAGAAAATATCTGCTTCCTGTAACAGAAAACACGCCGATACAAAAAGCTGTTTAAATACCATTACAATTCCACGACACACAGCCGATACAGATTCTGGAACAGCCAAGGTCATATATGGTCAATACCATACCGGTGAAACGCAAATATGAAGAAACAGAAAATATCTGCTTCCTGTAACAGAAAACATGCCGATACAAAAAGCTGTTTATATACCATTACAATTCCAGGACACACAGCTGATACACAACCCAAAACCACAAAATGCAAACTCAGCCTCGTTAAGAACTACCACAAAATCCAACACAGATTCAGCCAAGAGAAAGTGGACGAAAAGTCAAACCAAATCCCAAATACAATAGCTCTATGTTTGCACAGTAACTAAAATAAAAAAAAAATGCAAGCGTTCATTGAACATTGATTGGATTACTGAACGTTGATTATTGAACATTGATTTGATTGCTGAAAGTCGATTATTGAACATTGAATGAAGATTGATTATACATTGATTATTGAATATTGATTGAACATTGATATCATTGCTGAACATTGAATGAACATTAATTATCCATTGATTATAGTCCATTGTTATTGAATTGGAATATATAAGTAAAATGGAAATTAAAATGGTAATGGTAATGGTGGGATATTTGTAGTGTGCCTTCCACAATAAAATCGTCTCGTCTCAATTGAACAAAAATGTAATATGCTAATAATATGTTAGAAATGATCACAATTCAATGAATAACACAATCACACCTTTGACTTATAACATTTTATTGTTTTCATGTTAAAAAAAAAAAGAAACAAAAGGATGAAAAGAATTTAAATTTACTATAAATTGATCATGTTTAAAAACAAAATAAAAGAAGGAAGATGTAGAATATTGTATTAATTTGAACCACGCCCTCTCGGTGCGTTACCCATCTCATACATGTATGTCGGTCAGTACCTCAATAAACAATGCTAGTAATCTACGAAGTGCCTCAGGCTGGTCATTAACTTACAGATGCTACCGTTTTCAAAAACTGGTTCCACAGTGACTTTGTTCCAACTGCCCGGGGGTGGTGCCATGAACACGACATTCACTACAAAATTCTACTTTTGGATAATGCTCCGTCACACCCCCCAAAAGAAGAACTCGTTTCTGAGGATGGGAACATCTGGGTTGAGTATCTTCCCCCTAACACCACTAGCGTGATTCCGCCTATGGACCAGGGGGTCTTGGAACCCCTGAAACGACGCTAGAAAAAGCATCTCCTACGACACAACCTGGGGAACGATGGCGCAGCTGACAGTCAAGGATTGCGTTGGTTGGATTTCCCAAGCATGGGAAGACGCAACGGAAGAAAACCTATGTGCTAGCTGGCGACAACTTCTCAGAGAAGAGCCGAACAACGACTCCGATCCCCATCAAAGAAACCATCATGATGACGATGACTCGGCTGAATTCGATGTAATGTTTGAAGAACTCGGATAAAAAGCCCGATGATAGCGAGTAGATGGGACCTGTTCAATGGCTGGCTGAAGACGCAGACGATCCAGGGTATCAGTGGCTAACGGATGATCAAATCATCAGTGGTGTGGAAACATCGCAGGAGCACGATTCATCTGATGATGAACAAGAAGAAGATTTCCCAACCTTACCCCCATAAAAAACGAAAAAAAAAAATTAAGAAAAGATACTTTCAATTAGTATCCCTCATTTATGTATAAAGACAGAATCGATATATCATCCCAACTTGCACATTTCACATGCGTACTGGTACATGTTCAATTGTAAAACCGTCCATTGGTTTCATATTTGTTTGTTTTTGTTCATAAATATTTTGTTCATTACAAAATTATTCCTTCGTCTACACAGTATCATTTGTCTATGTCCGTCCGATACGTTTGTTATTTGTTTGAGAAATGTCAGTCTTATGTTGGCTTTGTTTTATTGTTTGAATCATGTCCGTCTTATACGTTCGTTCCATTATTTATTTTTTCATGTCCGTCTTATGTTTTCGTTATTTTATTTTTTTTATTCTTCTCCGTCATATCTTTCATAAATTCGTTCATTTCCGTCTAATGTGTTTGTTTTTTTATTTGTTTAAATCATACCCATCTTATGCGTTCGTAATTTATCTGTTTAAATCACGTCTTATACGTTTGTTCGCGTATTGCGGACTCGCGATCAAAGGCTGGCAGCAGTGCGGCGGCTGCATAGCCAATCAGCGCAAAGCATAAATCCATCTGCGCAACAAGCACATGGTTAAACCAAGGACCTTTAACTGTTACCAGAATAGGAAGCTGGCTGGTTTAAGCCGCCTAACTTGAATTAGCTTTATGTGCAGTATTGTTATGCAAATGAGCCAGATAACCACAATCTGCATATGCTCAGAAAAACAAAACTTTACTTAGCCACACTGCGTATCGGCTAGGCGTACAGCCGCTAGTCCTAGCTTATCTTAATTTTGTTTGTTACGCACCTGACTTAGGCTGTATGTCATCACTTCAAGATGTCTACTGATTCGTGGAAAAGGCGTATTAAAATCCAAATATTGGCGTTTGTGAGCAATACATTTTAATTTTATATAAGTAAGTAGTAAGTATATGAATTTTAATGCACTAGTTAGTTGATAACTTCATTCTAATTTGTTTTGGCTCTTTTTTCTGTATTTTTATAAGCGGTTAGACATGGTCTAGGCCCGGTCTGGGCTAGCCTAATCACATCAATTTAAAATCAAATTTGTAGACATACTTGCCTTATATCTTAACTTGCAGGTGATTTTATTGGTAGACTAGTTTGTTTTTAAGAATTCAAGTATGATTGATTTGCATGCCAAGTGAAATTAGTACCCTTATTTTGCTTTGTTTTACCGTACCGTAATTCTCGGCTAGGCCTAGCTGTACGCCTAGCCGATACGCAGTGTGGCCATGGTGTGACTAAGGAAAGTTTTGTTTTTCTGAGCATGTGCAGATTGTGTTTATCTGGCTTATTTGCATAAAAATACCGCATATAAGGCTAATTCAAGTTAGACGGCTTAAACCAGCCAGCTTCCTATCCTGGTAACAGTTAAAAGTCCTTGGTTAAACGAATGATCTTCCCCTATGCGGAGTACTTCTTGATTTAGGAGAGAGGTTCGTTTCTACAGCAATAATATAGAATAGTTTAGAATTTGTTGTTGCTTGCTACGAAGTCCTGCACATTGTAAATATTCTGTGTAAACTTAGACCAGTCATAGACCATACCAATAGGCCGTGACGATCGTTAAGCGCACACACATGGTTAAAAAATCTATGTTTTCGTTTATTTTCTCGATAGAGGGCGCAATATTTTGATACTTCTCAATTACGAATTTTCTCAATTACGAACGCCTTCTAGACCAAAGGGTATGTAATTGAGAAGGTCGACTGCAGTCGATCTTCCCAATTACGAACTTCTCAATTACGAACCTTCTATTTTACGAACGGTGTTTGGCCGATGGCGTCATCATGCGATCGTAAAACGATTTTAGGTAACTTTTTAAAGCTATTATCCACGTGAATTTTGAGTGCTTTTGTTCCTTTATTCTATTGCATAACAAGAAACTTCAAGTGTATTAAAGCAATCACTGGTCTCTTTCCAGCGACATGCCGATCTAAATTTAGACCGTCTTACAGAGACGACATTAGACCGCTGTCATCGTTAATAGCAACAGTCGGTTAACATCAAAGGAGCGCATAGCTGTGGTTAAAAAACTTTACAGGACGCGCATCTGGGAATGAATTGGTTTACGCTTATAAACTTTGTAAACAATGAATAGGGTTTGGATAAGAAATGACACAAAATATATGCAATTTAAATGAATCATTTGTACGTATTATTTTAAATGACACCTTTTCATTGGTAGGGAGGGAGCACCGAAGGAGCATAGACCTGATTGTTTAATTAATTGATTGAAACATAATTAAATGAAATGTAATGTACATTTCAACAATGGCTTCTGCCTCGAAAAGACCAAGACAGTGTATTTCCATTGATACGAAACTGAGCGTAATAAAAGCCTATGAGAACCACGAGTCCAATTCAGCGACTGGAAAACGTTTTGGACTTTCGAAGTCTACGGTAGCGACCATATGAAAAAACAGAGAGAAAATACAAAGACACATTTCAACAAACGAAAACCCTGCTATAGTAAGAAAATCTTCGTATGTGAAAACACCAATCTTCGATAAAGTAGACGCGGCCATGTACATGTGGATGGAGCAGCAGAGGGCTAAGGGATTGTCTGTTCGGGGACCGTTGTAATTTATTACACCTAAAATGAAATTTTTAATCACAAAATTTCAACCAATTACCTTAAAATATACTTTTTAAGATGCGAAACTCTATTCATTTATGGACATAAAAAAGTAAATTTGTGTTAGTTTAGACATCAGCAGAAAGTGAAAATTAGCATGTTTTTGGTAGTACTTTTATTAAATTTGGGGAAAAGCTAGAGAACGTTAGTGTTAACTTACGGGTTAGTTGCGTAAATTCTCGTTCAATATTTCATCACTATAACTCGTAAATAAATCATTTCCTTTTTATGAAGCCAGCATACATTAATTTCTTACATGTTAAGTACATTTAATTTAGCGTAGACATCAACAGAAAACGATAATTAGTATTGTTCCTGTGCAATCTGAATTAGAGCCAACGAAAATATGGACTACCTTAATGTTAGGCCTAGGGTTATATTAGGGTTATTTAATTTTAATAATTCGATGATTAAGAATTACAAAATTGTATTTTCCTTTTCATGAGAGAAGCATATATTAAAATAAGTTTATGTTAGCTTATGCATCAACCTAAATTGAAA